GTTGATAGATGGTTGCTATATATTACCATTTATCTAGATTTATCTATCAGATCTCCCTATCAGTTGTCACAACGCATCCGCCTTGCAAGGTGCAAAGGCAAGGCGGGGAGCACATCCGACCTTGATCACAGCCATCAATTCGAAGCGAAAATAGGCGAGGAAACATAGGAACACATTGGCAAACATAGGAACACATTGGGAAACATAGGCAAACATGGGAAAACATAAGAAAACATGGAAAAACATAGAAAAACATGAGGAACCCCCCAATTATTTGGGATGTGAAAACCCATTGTTTCAATCCATTGGAGCCAATAAAGAATTCATGTGGTGCCATATGGATTGGCAGGATGTATTCCACAGGTGGCCTATAACAATCCCCACCAAAAGGCCATGTCCGAGGTTTCAACCCCGAACAATGGAGCGTTGAATATTGTACTACAACAATCTCTATACTACTCTATATGTATACATATATATATATATATACATAATATTCAGAATTAGTAATAATAATCATAATAATAATAATAGTAGTAGTAGTATTGTTGTTGTACTATTGTGGTTACAGTACTATTATTATGATAACCATGTTTGTGAATGGCCGAAATGGCAACTGAGGCTGCGGCTTCTCGGATCCTGCGTCACTTGAAGAGATGCCATTGGATGCCTGGATTCCAGAGGCTATTGGCTAGGTTTTCTATACATACTGTATACATATAGATAGATTAGATTCGATTAGATTAGATTAGATTGATAAGATTAGACTGATAAGATTAGATGGATACAGTAAGATTAGATAGGTAAGAGCAGATAGAGAAGATAAGATTAGATTAGATTAGATTAGATTAAGATAAGATGAGATAAGATGAGATGAGATAGATAGACGGACAAACAGACAGAGAGATAGATATAGAGATATAGAGATATAGAGATATAGAGATATAGAGATATAGAGATATAGAGATATAGAGACGTAGAGATATAGAGATATAGAGATATAGAGATATAGAGATATAGAGATATAGATAGAGATAGATAGAGATATAGAGAGATAGAGATATAGAGAGATATAGATAGAGATATAGAGAGATAGAGATAGATATATGTAGATAGATATAGATAGAAGAATGGTGATATTCATATATGTCTATCTATACATACATATATCATTGGATTGGTTTGAGGGGGAAAAAAAGGAAACCTCTATATTTGATGGTAAAAGCCATGGATTCCTGTAGATGTTCCCTTAAACCAGTCCAATGAATAAACAAATAAATAAACAAATAAGTATATTGTATTATATATATTATGTATATATATATATATCAACTATGTTATATAAACCATATAGATGTACTATATGACTGAGTATCAGATCAAAACCTTATGCAAATCCAGATCCCACACCTCACACTGCTCCAAGAAAAACTGTGCTGAGTCCGGGCCTTTGCAAAGCCTTGGAGCAAGCATCGGTGAAGCACCTGATCTGCTGGGAACACTTCACAAATGGGGGGCACTTTCAGTGGGTGATGTTGATCCCACAGCGCCTGCTGCCGCACCGCCAGTTCGGTCTGCCATTCCTGCACTGGGTTGTGCCATGTACCTTGGAGCTGGTTCTTCCACTCGTAACTGCAAAATTACTTTGCTTCGAGTGATCCCCACCATGACATTTCAAAACAGCTTGTTGACACCACTTTTGTCTGAAGCTTTTGTCACGGGACTTTTGCCCAACTAACTATCCCAATCATTTGTTTCACCTGGCAGGTCATTGTGCATGTCAGTCTGTCAAACAGGATATAAACATGTCAGTGGGCCATGTGAAGTAAACTCCAGAGCTCTCAACAGGTTTGCTTAAACATGACCAAACAGGCCAGTGGACCACCTGAGCCAAACAAACAAACATGCCCAAACATGTCAGCACACCGCCTGTCAAACATGTTTGTAAAAACATGACTGAAACAAGCCAGTGGACCACCTGAACCAAAGTCAAAAGCTCGCAAGCTCGTGTGTAAACTAGACAAAACCATGCCAGTGTTACTTCACCAGATCGCTGCAGCTGCAACTCTCTATTCCTCCACCAGACCTCTTCAATCAAAACCGATTAGGTCCCACAGGTAGAGCAACGTGTCAGGCTATGCCTCCCCCGGACCTCTTCAGTCAAAACCGATTAGGTCCCACTGGCAGAGCACTGTGTCAGGATGCTTGCAATGCATCATAGACAGGCCAGGACTGCAGCCGCTCCAGCGTCGAAGCAGCTTTGGTTTCCAACTTGTCAGTCAGTTCTCGCAAGTAGGTAGGAGGGCCTCTGCGTAAAAGCTCCTCCACTTGCTCCGTGAACCCCAGCAAGATGAGATTCTTCAGTTTGCGGGCACGCGTCAGCATGACATAGATGGCTAGCCACCAGTCGGCATCCTCTAGGCCACCACCACGACGCAAATCAACCAGCACACCTCCGTCCAAAGTCAAGCCTTGCGCGCTGTAAGAAGTGCGCAGCATGCCATGCAAAAGAGGAAACTGCCAGCGAATCACTTCAATTTTCTCGGTTTCCTCGCCTAGCTTCAAATCAATTTTGAACTCTGCATGCACCAATTCCACAAAGAACAATGTCTTTGCGTCAGTTGTGTGATCGGCCACATTCTGAAACTTTTCTTCCCACGTCTGCAACAGAGCATCTTCCATGGGCGAATTCTTTCCTTTAAGTAATTTCACCCAGATACCTTTGGCCATGTAGTCCGGAAAAAAATGACAGAATCCAGGTTCCCGACGGTCCAGGAGCTTCTGATCTTCATGGTGCAAATCCACTTTCACTACCACTGCCAGTTTGTCTTTAACCAATCCAAGGTGTGGAGCCAAGACATCCGCCAGTCGCACAACCATGTTCTCGTGCACCAGTAGCATGCCTTGCAATTTGCCAGTGCGATGCGGGTTTGGAACAGTGAGCAGCTGATGTGTCAGCTGCTTGTCTATGGCTTTATTTTTTCTGGAATGCCTTTGGTCAGCAGCTTGCAAACAAAATAACGGCACATCCAGGTCTTGCGCATCTCGATTTGCCCGTTCCACCATGCTGCGAGCAATGTTCTCCCAATACATTCCAATGACGTGACCATGCTTGAACAAGTCCGTGGTTAGTTCTTTCTTGCAATTTTCGATTTTGCGAGTGCGCAGCTGAGCCAAGTGATCCTCGGACAAAGGAGCAGCAGGCGTGCACGTGCGCATGGCTGTTGTGATTTCTGGCAGGTGAGCATCCAGAAACCGCTTCGACTTCTTCAAATGAATCACTGTATCAATGGTCATCAATGCCGCCTGGGCAGCATGGTGTTCTGTCTGCACTCTGTGCGGCATTTTGCGGATCAGCTCTTCGAAATTGTCAGCTAAGGAGATCTCGTTGGCAGGCTTGATCTGCAAAAAATCACCTGCAATCAGCAAAATTGGTATGTGTCCCATGAGCTCTCCTGGGTGGAAATAGCTGGCTGGATCAAGGCCTTCATCTTGACGGGCGCGCATGCTGCGGTAAAGCATCATGTTTTCCACTGCAGCTGGCACCAAACTGATTTCATCTTGAATGACCAAAATTTTAGGCTGCCAGCGTTGTTTCATCTCTTGCTCTTTTGTCTTCAAGGCCAAATGCTTGTTGCGCAAACTGGCTACACGATACGAGCAAGCAGTGGAAATGTCTCTGTCCACCCCAGTGACTCTGTCATCTGTTCAAACTGATTGCTTCAAACTTTGCCACCTGCAAAGTAAGAAGTGGCATTGCCCCGGTCACTCTACCACACACGCGCGAGTTTGCAAGTAATATATAACATAACATACTTGTCTGACATTCTTTCTAACTTTCTTCTGCACATTCTTTGTCCCATATCTTCCTACATGAGGTCCGGCAGGGAACACTTGGCGTGGATATTCGCGGTTGAGGTCCGGCAGGGAACACTGGGCGTGGATGGTCGTGGTTGAGGTCCGGCAGGGAACACTGGCGGTGATGGTCGTGGTTGAGGTCCGGCAGGGAACACTGGGCGTGGATGGTCGTGGTTGAGGTCCGACAGAGACCACTGTGCGTCGAGGGTCGCGGTTGAGCAGGAGGAGGAGGAGAGGAGAGGAGGAGAGGAGCAGGCAACTGACATAAAATCTAACAACCCTCACCTGGCAGGTGGGGAAAAATGAAACCGTTCTCTTCGAAAGTGAGTGTCTACTGAGGCCCGCTCTGACTCCCTGCTGGAAATTGCAGAAATACTCCCCATCCTCCGCCATGTATGGCCTAAGCAAGGGAAGGCACTGCTACCCAACTCCAGTGGTTCAACATGGTTTCACATCATTTCCCCCCTTGAAAATGGCAATAAACCTGGCGGTAAATTCCCATCTTCAGACCCCTGGCCGCCAGGCCTGGGACAACTTGACGCATGTGCTGAGCAAGGGACCCACTCCAGCCCTCTAGAGCTGCGGTGGCCCGGTCGTGGGTACTTTGCAAGTGAGATTGCACCTCGGCGCCCAGTTTGATGGAGATTTACTCCAATTCATCGGCATGGGCATGATGGGGAATATGATGTTCAAGCATTTTAAACCAATGAAAATCATGAGACACCACTGGATTTGGTGTAGTTTTGGGTACCTTCAGATCAACCCATCATGTGGCACTGGACTGGAACAGTTTGGGTCTCGGAACAGTTTGGGTCTCCCACTGCCTCCATGACGCTGGCCTCGGGTGGGTCTAGCCTCCTGCAGGCGTGGTGGTGCTGCAGGCTTAGGTGTTTGATATCCAAAATTCCCAAACTCCTAGGGAAACCAACACATCTAGCCATGGCAGGCTCCAGCTCCTCACGGATTTGATGAGCTGGATCAGCTCACGGAAAACATCATCCTGGCGTCGGCTATCCTAGGGTCCTTTGCAAGCGTTTGGTTGGCGTAAGGATTGCCGTAAAGCACATACAACTGATATGATGTATACTATAATGATGAATCATGACTGGTCATGTAATGATATAATATAGAACATTATAGAATTATAGAACTATGATTGCTACCCAGTTTTCAAGTGGGATGGTCATCCAAAAGATGATCATCAAAAAAACAAGAAGAAAAAACAATGAAATCAACTGTCTTCGTCTGTCTGAAGCCGCCGCGAACACCCCCTTCGGTCGCACCATCGGATGAGACCAGCTGCTCTGCTGCGTAACCTTCCAGCGGTCACGACATGCTCAACACGGTCCAATCAGCCCAGATGGTACATGGGCTTATAGGCTTATAGCCAGGTCTCGAACATGACTTCCTGATCAATTTCAGATCCAAAAGGCCAAAAGATGCAACAACTGTTGATCATCTCAAAAAAAGGTGTGCCAAGGGTTTCATCAACGGTTTCATATCCGGCACACCGGCCACTTCAACCATCCCCACCTGGCTGAAGAAGTAGACGCGCCCTTCCGGATCCAAATGTTCGGACCAACCAGAGGGTAATGGCGCTTCAAAGGCCTCAATGGCAGGGCCATGGCGGGGCCATGGCGGGGCCATGGCTTGTGAAAAGTAGATATTGCTGACTAAAACTGGTGCAATACTCCGAACTATTCCTGTTAACCGGGGTCTATTCATGCAACTGTGACTTGGTTGATTATTTTTCATATCCAACTTTTGGGAATTCTTGTATGACTCAGTTGATCATCCCATGATGGGCCTCTTTGGCCACCCAAAGCAGATCTCCATCTTCCGCGTCCACACCCAGGCTCTTGGCGAACCTCACGGGTGTCTTGGGAAGAATCTATGAGATCTGGCTTACTAATTGGTGGCCAAATCTTCTGATTTGAATTGATTTGAACCATTTTGTTGGGTCCGAAAATAATTGAGATGCAGAGGTCGTTGATCATGGCACAAGCGATGGAATATGATGGGATTGCCTCTGGTTTGTGTATTGTTTAAGTCTTTTTGGGGAGAATGTTGCTTTGTCCCGAAACACCTGGGGTGAATCCAATGCTTGATGTTCGCAACTGCAGGGCAATTTGTACAGCAGAAACCTAGCGCGTGTCTACAGATTCTCCGAAGAAAAAGCAAACTTGATATTCAGGGTCCACTTTCCTATGTCATTTCGACTTGTAGATGAGGATGGTTTTTTGGCAGAATTTTTTGTGCCACTGTGCCAGAGAAGACCCAAGATCCAAGGCCCGAGGCGCAGCGATCCGACCAAGTGACTCCTTGAAGTCACCGTCCGAGTTCTCGGATTCCTGGTGGTGGACATCGCCTCCACGATGCTGGACAAATCTGCAGGTGACTTGTCAACATTTAAGTCAACACAGGCAACCTGAGAACTTCTATGAGGATCTTGAGGAATATTCAATGATCATGAACATCTATAAGTCACTATGAGTCTATAATATTCTATAATTATTCAGTGTAAATGAGCTGACACACACACACACAAGAAAAAAAAACTTCAGACATCGATCCGTTGCAGCACCACCATCCCCGGACTCCGAAGAAACCTGTCAGTTCGGAGTCACTGCTGAGGCCGAGGTCGTCCAAGCTCCTTGAGAAGGGTCCCAATCCACGGAAATCAAAGTCATTCAGTCACTAAGATGATGAGTGTTATTCTCTGATGATGTTTATTTATATACACGTATATATAATTATATATAATTATATATATATATATATGTATCATGATGTGCGATAATTGTCTGGTGTTTTTCTAGATGTTTCATGACTTTTCCCGAGAGCACAGCTCAGGCCAGGGCATAGCAAACGCTGAGGCACACCTGGCGGGTAATGGCTGGGGGGTTGGGGGATAAGTTCGCATATCCATCAGAAAGTAACTGTCCAAGTAAGGACAAGTTCCTTTATATCCCGTTTTTTTCCATCTTACTACAAAATATGAAATGAACTCGGCTTTGGAACACGGCGATGCAAATGAACAAGAAAATCGATGTGTCCCATGGCTCGTTTTGGAAAACGAATTGTATAAATTGAACCACTATGGGCCTATGGGTGTATGTCCATTATGTCCTGATTGCCCTCCCCCCCTGGCTCACATGGAAAAAACATATATAAAAAATGTATGCCATTTTGTGACCACAATGCATAGCAACGGAATCTGCTAAAACGCACTCCAGGAACGCAGCTCGCGCCTGAACCTTGGAAGACTATGTTCAGATTGCGCATCGCGGCTAGGTGCAATGCTGTTTCTTGGCTGTTTCTTGGCTGTTCAAGGCTTGGTGTCGTCGGCCGGCCATGGGCAAAACAAATGGGATGGTGGACCCTTCCTGGCGTTTGTCACTGGCTGAACAGCCATTTCATGGCCAGATTTCATGCTGGGCTTCTGCTTTTTCGGGCTGGTGGATTTAAAAGAGCGTGTCCACCAGCAGGTTACATAAAACATCATCAAACAAATTACTCGGGATGGCATCAGGATGGCTGCATCACAGCACTGAGATCTAAGGTTCTGTGGCTTCGCCTTCACTGGTTGCTCTTCGTTTGAAGATCTCAAGCGGCTGCGAAACAGGTGCAAGGCAAGGATCTAACGTGGATCAAAACAGACTTGCCCCTGATGCCATGGATGCCAGAAAGAAATAAAGGTTTAGCATATCAGTAGTCATTGAGACACTTGCCATCATTCCATGGGTAGAGGTGTTGAGATAGTTAAGTCAAGAATCATTGAAACTCCAAGATTTGAATGCTCTGGCGAACCCGTGGGGCAGAAACTCTGGACAGATTGACTATGAAACATGTCGTGCTGGGAACAAAGGTACTAGTACGCGCAGAGGTTCTCGAGGTGTCTGTGCCCAGATAAGCGCTAGGCCGGTGAAACAAAGTTTGGAGCTGGGCTTGTCCCCAGCAAGACATTGATTTCTGCCACGTTCGGCTCCTTCGCAATGGTAGGCAGATAATCGGTAGATATCACGTCAGGCGTCAGGTGGCAGTGCTGCTTTGCAGATTGACCCCCAGATTAGAGGTTTCTTGGTCCTTTCTGAAGCAATCTTGTGAATTGGTGGTCCGAGGGAACGCTCCCTCCGTAGATCATGGCCTTGCTGCTTTGTCTACAGGAACCCAAGCAGGATACTCCGCCTTTCGAAGTCAACTGTTGTCCATCCATCTTTCATCCGCAGGAAGCCAAATGTATAGCATCCAACCATCATCAAGATGTTGTTTCCCACCACATCAGCTGGGCTCCAACGACACCACTGGCATCTTGCCGTACATGGCATGCACCCGCACCGTGTCGCCCGTCCTACAGCGGCACAGGCCGCTGTAGGACGTGACCAGCAACTCGTAGCGGCTGCCCACTTCGGCTTCCCAGGCGGGGATGGCGGATGCCATGCCACGGCTGCTGTTGCTGGGAATCAGCTCGAAGAACATGCTGCCGGGGTCCTTGGGAAAGGTAGGGGCAAGGAGGCCGGCATGCCAGAAAGAAGTAGCTATTTACATCTAGGTACATCTACAATCAAATAAAACAGTATAAAATGAAGAATTTGCCAATGAAATCTATTTTTTGGCCTCATTCTCAGCTTTGTGCCAGACTTGCAGACCCGTTCTTCACCATATTCGATGTTCCAATGGTCCAAGTTCCAACCAAGCTTCCAAGAGATACGTCCATCGGCCAAAGGGTTCCTCCGGAAAAATATTGACGCCCAAGTGGCCAAGTGCTTTGGAGCTGGTGTAGAGCCTTGGCTCATGCGCAACCCTTTCCCAAACTCTGCCAGAGGCGGAACGGCTTTCAAATTGGTTGGATACGATTATGGTCATTATGGTCGTCACTTATGGCTCGAAATTCCCAGCTTTATAGGGTTTTATGATACGATTATAGGGTCCAGGCCTCGAATTCCAAACCTGGACACCGACTCGACAACTCGTTACTTGATGTTACTTGCTGACGAGCATCGGAGAGTAAACTGGCAAGTCTCCAAGATCCTGTTTTCCCTCGTCGTTCATGGTGGTCACAAGCACCACCTGTTTGATGGCTCAGTGACGCTATGATGTCGTTTTGGGCCAATGGCGGGCACAAGGACACTTAGTCAACCTGCAAATACATTTATAATCTGATATTGATTGAAGCATTTCTGGACAAGTTTGTTCAGCTGGGTCCAGAATTACTGTCGGATTGAAGATCCAATCTTGAATACAACAGCCCAGAATCAACCCAGGTGCAGTGTTTGGATCTGGCAACATGCACATTTAGCTTGCGACTGGATAAGGCAGTCAAAGAACAACTCTTGCTTGTGGAATAGGAGCTGGTGATGCATGCCCATGTCCTTCAATCTGATTGCCTTTGAATCACATGCGAGGTAGATTGTCTATGATGAGTCTATCTCTATGCTGTAGTTGCAGTGTGGATTGTGGATCATTTTGCTGTATTCAACTCTGTTTCCAAGGCTTCCAGAGTAGATTAGTCGCTGGCCTTTTTATACTTTGGATCAGCCCACGTTTCCGTCGCCCCTCCCATTTTATTCAGGAAATATTACAGATTTCACCTGGACGCCTACTCCGGAAAAACCGTAGCATCAACATAGTATGACTATGACGTTGAATTGGTCAGGATACCATACACTCAATTGAGTCCCATCATGCACCCTGGATGATTTTGGGCACGCCGAGCCAAATCGCCGATCAAAGTCAGCCTGTGACAGAGGCATTGCACTGGCAAGCTTTCGAATCTTGCCTTGATCGTCAAGGCACTCTATCCGGGAGCGAAGTCTGTCAAGCTTGTATCCAAAGATTGGTGGGAAAGAAGCGACTATTTCCAAAACACAGTGGTTGCACAGGAAACATCTCAGTAGGTTCCATTTCACTTGCAGGTTTTTTTCTACACTGCAGCCAAGCAATTGTGGAAAAACTGAAATTACCTTGTTAACTTGTGCCTTGTTCAAACCCAAGTCCAGCATCCACTGCACAGTTGGCTTCAAGTTCTGTTCGGTGCTACAACCAAGGACTTGCGGAGAAGCAGAAACGACCTTTGCAACTTGGGCATTGTTCAAACCCAAGTCCAGCATCCACTGCACAGTTGGCTTCAAGTTCTGCTCGATGCTGGACCCAAGGACTTGTGGGAAACCTGAGATGATTTTCGCAACCTGTGCCTTCTTCAAACCCAAGTCCAGCATCCACTGCACAGTTGGCTTCAAGTTCTTCTCGATGCTGTACCCAAGGACTTGTGGGAAACCTGAGATGATTTTCGCAACCTGTGCCTTCTTCAAACCCAAGTCCAGCATCCACTGCACAGTTGGCTTCAAGTTCTGTTCGATGCTACAACCAAGGACTTGTGGAGAAGCAGAAACGACCTTTCCAACTTGGGCATTGGTCAAACCCAAGTCCAGCATCCACTGCACAGTTGGTTTCAAGTTCTTCTCGATGCTGTAACAAAGGATTTGCGGAGAAACAGAAACGACCTTTGCAACTTGGGCATTGGTCAAACCCAAGTCCAGCATCCACTGCACAGTTGGCTTCAAGTTCTGTTCGATGCTACAACCAAGGACTTGTGGAGAAGCAGAAACGACCTTTGCAACTTGGGCATTGTTCAAACCCAAGTCCAGCATCCACTGCACAGTTGGTTTCAAGTTCTTCTCGATGCTGTAACAAAGGATTTGCGGAGAAACAGAAACGACCTTTGCAACTTGGGCATTGGTCAAACCCAAGTCCAGCATCCACTGCACAGTTGGCTTCAAGTTCTGTTCGATGCTACAACCAAGGACTTGTGGAGAAGCAGAAACGACCTTTACAACTTGGGCATTGGTCAAACCCAAGTCCAGCATCCACTGCACAGTTGGTTTCAAGTTCTGCTCGATGCTGTACCCAAGGACTTGCGGATAATTAGAAACGACCTTTGCAACTTGGGCATTGGTCAAACCCAAGTCCAGCATCCACTGCACTGTTGGCTTCAAGTTCTGTTCGATGCTACAACCAAGGACTTGTGGAGAAGCAGAAACGACCTTTACAACTTGGGCATTGGTCAAACCCAAGTCCAGCATCCACTGCACAGTTGGCTTCAAGTTCTTCTCGATGCTGTACCCAAGGACTTGCGGAGAAATAGAAATCACCTTTGCAACGTGGGCATTGGTCAAACCCAAGTCCAGCATCCACTGCACTGTTGGTTTCAAGTTTTGCTCGATTCTGCAACTCAGTACTTGCGGAAAAGTGGAAATGATCCTTACTATCTCACATTTTGTGAGGCCAAGGCTGATAAGCCATCTGAAGCATGGCCTCAAGTGCTTCTCAACTGCAATGTGGGGTTTATACATGTGTGGCTTTCCAAGCTCTTGGCTGGCCACATCCAATCCATGGCTAGCCCAAAAGTCAGATATCTCTTTAGGTGTGCTTCCACCTGCCACAACCGCAGCTGAACGAACAAACTTCTCTGCTCCCAAAGGAACTGGCATGAAGTCCTTGTCTGCATGGGTCTGTAGGCGTTTTGCCACATCCGGCCTCAAAGTTCCATGAAATTGGGTGATTAGTTCTACCAAAACAACTTTCAAAGCCTTCCAAATGGACTTCTGGTCACCTGAACGCCACTGTCCCACGGCTATCCAAAGGACACTGCCTTCTCTGTAGCCGCTTGCTGTGTGGCTAATCCGAACCACCAAGGAACCTGGAGGAGCATACGCCAACAATGCAGCATTCTTCCTCTTGTCGGCTGAAACACCTTCCACCTCCCTGTGCCTCCAATATCCGTCATATTCAACAAAAAGGGCTGCATTGTTCTGAAGCACTCCATGCACTGATAAATCTGGCTCCAAATAGTGTCCACCCCATCCTTCTGGCGCCGGGAATCTCCGAAAAAGCTCCGCAAGAGGTGTGCGTGGCTTCAGCAAACATCCCAACTGCGACAGCAGCTCCGCCTCAGCGATGCTTCCGGGACGTTCCCGTGGCCAGCCATTTCTCCACCACTTAGGCGGAGCTGAAGATATCCAACGAATAAATGGCATCCCTTTCCACACGCATTGTCCGCATGGCACCAACCCTTTTGCGGGTCCATGGCGACTGACAAACCGTGCGGATACTGTTAACATGTCTGGCTGCTATTCTCAAAGCCTGGAGCCACCAGCTGGGCTGGATGTGCTGCCTCATCCTTGAAAAATGCTGAATTCCTATTCATTCTGACAGCATTCGATAGGACATGAACAATCACTGTTGCAAATATTGCACCTATCCAAGCAGAACAGGCTCAGTGTACCCTACAGTATTCATCAGTACTCTATGAAGCCAGGTCACCACAAATCACCACAAAATCAGACCTCCAGCATCAATCCCAAATCCCACACCAGGCACCATGGAACTAACGGGCACTACACCCATGTTCAGCAACTGCCTGCAGATGTGGCCAAAGGTCTTTGGCACCTGCAGGGGCTCCACCAACACCACGCTTCAGCAGTTTTTCCTTGGTGTTGGGTACAGGTGGGCTGCACAAGAAGGGGGGAAAACATCGGCAAATGTGCTTCTTTCTGCAAAGTCACAAGTACAGTGCACTGAGATTGTCTACATCCGATCCACCCCCTTTAGGCCTAAAATGAACCAATGTGAACTCGCAAACCTTGCTTTGCAAGATGCTTTTCCTGGAACACATGGCGATCTCCGTTAGTTCAATGATGTTCAATGCTAAAACCCTCCAACCCTGACTTCACAACCAAAATTTCTGAACCTTCCATCAAACTTTCAATACTCAATGTTCCTTCCGGTTCCAATCTCAAATATCTGAAATGTCCATCAATCAGCCAATCAACATCAATCAATCAATATTTCAATGGTCTAACCTCCCCCATCACCCCAACCCCCACCCCTACCACCCAGCACCCAGCCACCAGCGCTGCACCCGAGGCACCACCTCCAGCGCCCTCCGTCCATCGGGTCCTCTGAGCGCCGCATCCAGCGCCGCGCGCAGCTCCGGCTGCGGCACCTCCTCGGGCAGACGCCGGTCCCAGAGGTGGCCTGCAACGGGGCAACAGGGATCCCAACCGGTGGGAAATCTGGGAGCAACCAATGAACCAACCAAAAAACCTGTGAAAACATAGGAAAACGTGGGGAAAATTCATGGATTTGAGATGATTTAATGATGGCAGGATTCACCATTGATCGTTATTCACCAACCAATAGAATGACTTTGAACAAATAACAATAAGAATCATGCTCATAGAAACATAAACAATTCAATAGTATAGTACAGGTAAAAAAAACTTGGTAGTAATATATACTGGAGAAATAGTCTTGAATCAACGGACAAAATAGTTCAACCGAGATATCAAACTACTATTGCCATCTATTCCCATCCAATAAATCACAAACACTCAGCCCACTGAGTGGTTCATTCCAGTCCTTCCACATCGCCAAGACCAGCCCAGCCAAGGCTCCATTTCGCAGGTCCTGTACCAGGTGCCGGCGATGGTCCGAGGCAGTTTTCATCAGCGTGTCGTAGACCAACTTCGCAGAACTGGCCTGGAGCACTGGTCTAGTCAGCGGCCACCATTGGAAGGTCCATTTTTGAGGCTCAGTACGTGTTGAATATATAGCGATAGTGGGGAATCCGATTGTTTGATCCAAAGAGCCCGTGGTCTTAGGTTTCTTATGGTTTCTTTTGACGTGGTCTTTCCCAGGACGTCTGGTTACATGTCAGACCGCAGCTCATCCCCCACCAGCCTGGATCATATTGAGGCTTCTATCTTTCAAAGAGAACAGGGTATGCGCGTAGCGCCTGTCTGCCTGAGCAGAGCTTGTCAGCTGATCAATGACATGCGCAAACACCCAACCAAACCTCAGCCACTTAGGCGTAGCACCTTCCTCGACATGCAAAAGATTCATTGCCACTGTTTGAGTTCACGTCACCATGATTCAGGGGACATTTGCGTCTTACATAGTCCTCCATACCCTGGGAAAAAAAAAAAAAGCAATCGCAGCTGTTGCCAAAACATGCTAAACCCCCTTTGTTGATCTTTGTTGACCCTATACAGTACCCATCATATTTCATTACTTCATCTACAATCTACATCTATCTTCAAGGTTTACCCCTTCCCCAGATCTGTCCTCCGTTTTGAGATCATACGCCGCCATTGGGCTGGTGCACAGGAAGCTCCCCAGCCATCGCAGCCGATCCTTGAGGGACGCTCCGAAGAGGGCGGTGGCCAGGCGCTGGTCGGGGCCGGAGGGGAGCACCGTGAGCCTTTGCAGCTCCTGCAAGGCTTAGGGGGATGATTCGATGGATACATAATATTATGTATGGATACATACCACAATTTGGATACATAATATGGATATGGATATCATATATCTGTGGTGGAGAAACCTATCCATCATGGATACATGATATGAATGGATGAATGGATATGAGATGTATAGTATTTGAGGCAGGATATGGCAGGATGAAAAAGTAAGGCATTGATATGATAGATTTAAGAATCCTCAATTGGACCATGCACATTTAGAAGCATCTACAAAGCAAGTCATCCTACCTGGTGTTGGATGCTGCTGAAGATCCGTCCTCCTCGATGCTGGGGAAGGTATAGCTGAGCACAGCAAAGGCGGGCAGGAAACCTCTCTGAAGGAACAGCTTCGAGACCTCCAGTGGGCACAGTTAGGAATTTACTGGTTGATTAAGAGGGATTGAATGGATTCTCGTTGACAATTCCCAAATATTCCCAATATATTGGGTATATTTGGGTATTATAATCCCCGAAGTACTCATCAAGCAACCGGGGGGGTTGGATAATGCTCACTTAGCCGCTAAGCCTTAAGGTTGGCAGGTCCATCTCTGAATCTGGGACCGCGCCTCTTTTGTGCCCAGCTCCTTGCCCAAGCCTTTCGTCTCAAGGGCATCGGTAGGCTCGGTCAAGGGATGGCTCTCGCGGAAGATGGCGTAAGTGGCCACTCCTCTAAAGCAGAGCTACGGTGAGGGACCCACAACTTGAAGTTCACAGCTTGGCTCGGCAGACTGAGTCCATGCTCAAATGGGAGGACTGGAATATATTTGTCTTCGAGGCTGTCCTAAAGGCATCTAGAATGATCAGATAGATTCAGATTGACTGCTCTTCATAGCACTATCACCTTGAATTTCAATGGATTGTCATCTCCCTCCACCAGATGCCAAAAGCCCATTCCCCCTACCATTCTGCTGCAAAGTGTGGGGGGGAACCCCGGGGTGTCCTTGCAGTCCGTTTTGGAAGGCGTATGGGCTATCCTGATGCCTTCGAAGGATTTCGGCCAACAGCTGCT